TATGCCATGAGGCTTAGATTGTGGAGGGCTGCGTTTGTGTGTGTGTGTCTGTCTGTCTGTGTGGTACTTTCCGTGATTCATACATTTTACTCTCTCTCTTCTTTCTCTCTCTTTTCTCTCGTCTCTTCTCTCTTCTCTTTCTTTCTTTCTCTCTCTCTTTCTTCTCTTTCTTTCTTTCTTTCTTCTTTCCTTTCTTTCTCTTTCTTCTCTCTACTCTCTCTCTCTCTCTCTCTCTCTCTCTCTCTCTCTCTCTCTCTCTCTCTTTCTCTCTCTCTCCTCTCTGTCTCTCTCTCTCTCTCTCTCTCTCTCTCTCTCTCTCTCTCTCTCTCTCTCTCTCTCTCTCTCTCTCTCTCTCTCTCTCTCTCTCTCTCTCTCTCTCTCTCTCTCTCTCTCTCTCTCTCTCTCTCTCTCTCTCTCTCTCTCTCTCTCTCTCTCTCTCTTTCTCTTTCCCTGTGTATATGCGCGTGTGTGTGTGCCTGCGTGCATGCATGTATACGTGCGATTTCGTGAGCGTACTTGCTAGTAGTGACACCAAGAGAGGAAGTGTGAGTGACAGAGAAGGCAAAATGTGGCCGTAGCTCGCGTGTCCTCCCTCCCTCCGTCATGGAATCCGAGGCGCATAGTTCCGCTGGTAGGAGGATTCCGCCCGCCCGCCCGCCCGCCCGCCTCCCGCCCGCAGAGGAATAAAGTTTACATGCACCAGTTTACACCTCCCTTGACCGGGCGGGCTTTAAGATGTTTCATTGATCCCCCCGCGCGCGTTTGCTGTGCGGCCTGTGCTCCCGGGGCCTTCTTTATGCGGTGTGTGTGTGTGTGTGCGTGTGTGTGTGTGTTGGTGTTGTGTGCTTCATTCTATCCCTATGTGTGTCTGTTTGTCTGTCTGTCTCTGGCTCTCTCTCTCTCTCTCTCTCTCTCTCTCTCTCTCTCTCTCTCTCTCTCTCTCTCTCTCTCTCTCTCTCTCTCTCTCTCTCTCTCTCTCTCTCTCTCTCTCTCTCTCTCTCTCTCTTTCTCTCTTTTTCTTTCTTGATGTCCTTCTTTGTTCATGTCTCATCTTTCTCTTTCTTGTTTCTTATATTTTTCTCTTGTTCTACTCTTATTCTTTCTCTAGAGTTCAATCTTCCTCGCTCTTTCCCTCCCTCCATACCTCTCTCTCTCTTTTCTACATTTCCCATCCTTCTGTCAGTCTACTGTATGTACGACCCTCCTTCTTTCCTTTAGCCATTGCTTACTCAACCGTTTTTGCCTCTCCCTTTTCCTCCTTCCTTCTGTTTTTTTTACCTCCAGAATCTGTAGCTCAAAGTTGCATTGTCACTCTTTCCCTCTTTTTTTTCTTCCATCTTTTCCTTTTATTTTCTTTCTAGGTTCCTCGCTTGCTCCGTCCTGTCTTATTATTTTGTTAGTCTTTCTTTCCTTTCCCTCCCACTCTTTCTATCTACTCTTCACCCTCCCTCCCTCCCTCTGTCGAGCCTTCTCTCTCCTCTTATTCGTTGCTTTTCTCTCCTCCCCTATCCTCATCTCCCCTCTTTCTTTCTTCCTTTACTTATTCCTTTCTGCTTGCCATTCACCCTTCTCTCTGTTTCTTTTCCTCCCCTTCATTGTTCCTCTCCCTGCTTCCCATCTTCCCTCCCCTTCCCATCCCCTTCCTCCCTTTCCCCCCCTCCCCCCTCCCCTTCCTCCATTCCCCCCTCCCCTTCCTCCCCTTCCCCTCTCCCCTTCCCTCTCCCCTTCCTCTCTTCCCTCCCCCTTCCTCCCTTCCCTCCCTTCTTCTCTCTCATTCCTCCCCTCCTCCCTCTTCTCCCTCATTCCTCCCCTTCCTTCCTCTCTTCCCCCCCCCCTTCCCTTCCCCCTTCCCCGTGTTTGTACGACGGTCGGCGAGCAGGTGTATCCTCCAGTTTAGGCTGTCTGAGCTGGTATACGGCCGGAGACTCTCGTGTTTGTCGTGGGATTTCTTCCACGCTCATTCTTCGTATTCTTCCATTTCTTTCTTTCTTCCTTTCTGTTCTCTGCTTCTTTTTCTTTCTTTCTCTCTTCTTTTTTGTCTTTCCTTTTCTTTTCTTTTCATTTTGGGGGTCTGTTCTTCTCGTTTTGTTTATTGATTGTTTTTGTTAAATATTTTTTTCTTGTCTTGTTTTGTCTATTATTATCACTCGGCTTAAGGGTATCATTACATCAGGATATGAATCTTACATGTTTTTGTTTTTTTATTGTTGTTACTGTTATTACCATTATTATTTTTATTATTATTATTATTATTATTATTATTAATATTATCATTATTTTTATTACTCTTATTATTATTGATATTATTATTGTTATTATTATTCCTTCCCTCTCTTGGTTTGTCTCCTTCCCGTGACAATGTTTCAAGCTTAAATGCACATTTTTCAGTCGTATATCATTGTATTATGTTCGTTATTTATCATCCTACCGTATTGCACAGGCAGATGCAAGCTCTAATACATGTGATGTATGGTCAGAGTTATTGCATTATATTGTATTTCAAAGTGAGAGTATAACACGATCATATTTCCTCCTTTCCTCCATCTTATCTTTTCTTATTTCTTGCTCTTCCCTTTCCTCTCTCTCCCTCCCTTTGTGTTCGATATATGGATATATGGAGAGAGTTATGGTGTTATATCGTATTTCAAATGGAGAGTATAACAGGATCATTTTTTTTTTTTTCGAATGCATCACTCGAGTCACGAAGCCCCGTTCCTGCTTCGTGGCTAAGGGGCCTCGATCGCTGCTGTGGCACTTAGCGCCCTGAGGCATAGTTTATAAGTGGTCGCTTGTGTTCTTCGTTTGGGATTTTTTTTTTTTTTTTTTGTCTTTCTTTCTTTTTCTTTTCTTTTTCTTTCTTTTTCGCTTTTTCTGTCTCTTCCTTTCTTTTTCTTTTTCTTTATTTTGTTTCTTTTTTTTTTTTTTTTTTCTTTCTTCTTTTTCTTCTTTCTTCTTCTTGTCCGTGACTTGTGCTTTTCAGTATCGCTGGCATTCATGGGGTTACAGTGTGATTTTTTTCTTTGACATTCGGGTATAATGTTTTATTTTCTTCTTCTTTCTTTCCTTTCTTTTTTCTTTTCTTTTTTCTTTCTTTTTTTCTTCTTTCTTCTTCTCTTGTTCTGGGAAGAATAAATTATACTTCTCTTTTCTCTTCTTTTCTTCTTTCTTCCTCTTCTTGTTCTGGGAGGAATAGATTATATTTCTTGTTTCTCTTTTTTCTTCTTTCTTCTTCTTCCTCGCCTTGTTCTTCATTTTGGAGGGAATAGATTATATTAGTTCAGTTCAGGCAAGAGGGAGTCCAAAACGCGTGTCCAAACTGTGTGTACTACATTATGTACTTATTAGTCGATCAGCATGGCCAGGATTCCGACATGCAATGGTATTCATCTCATGACCTTTTAAAACGCGGCTGAACATGTCCGTAGATTTCTCTCTATCCTCTTCTCTTTCTTCTTTCTTTCTTTCTCTCTCTCTCTCTTTCTCTCTTCTCTTTCTCTCTCTCTCTCTCTCTCTCTCTCTCTCTCTCTCTCTCTCTCTCTCTCTTTTTTCTTCTCTCTCTCTCTCTCTCTATTCTCTCTCTCTCTATTTCTCTCTCTCTCTCTCTCTCTCTCTCTCTCTCTCTCTCTCTCTCTCTCTCTCTCTCTCTCTCTCTCTCTCTCTCTCTCTCTCTCTCTCTCTCTCTCTCTCTCTCTCTCTCTCTCTCTCTCTCTCTCTCTCTCTCTCTCTCTCTCTCTCTTAGGTAAATGAAATTGCCATAATCATGTTGATGATGTTGATGTTTTTTCTTCTTCTCTTTCTTCTTCGGCGCATGTTGTTATGAGCCATGGTAATCAGTGTTGCCGGCAGCGAGGTCTCTCATTATGCTTAGCGAATGGCCGTGCGATCAACCCGGCGTGACTTCCCCCACGCCCGCACGCCCACCTACTCCGGCCCACTCGCCCCGATCAAACTCCCATCGCCTACCTAGCCCAACCCTGTTCGTATTGGCGGCGAGGCGCAAGGGAGGGCTGGGGGCGAGGGGTGGGCGGGAGAGGAGGGGGTGGTGGAAGGAGTCGGGGAGGGTTTGAAGGTAGGCGGCTAGGGTGAGGGGGTGGGGGGGGATGGGTCGTCGGGGCGCGACGGAAGGAGGAGGAGGGAGGCAAGGTGAAGGGCAAGGGCGGCGAGTGGGGGAGGGGCGGGCGGGCGTTTAAGACATCGTTACTCCGCCACCGTGGGAGCCGGAAGTCCGCAACAAGTGCGAGGACCTGCAACACCGCCCGTGTGGCGTATTGCGGGCGTCCAGGGTGCAGCGGTGCCAGAGCCTCTCGTCGGAGGAGCCCGTGCGAGGCCGTGCCAAGCATCGAGCAGCGGGGCGAGGGCGGGGCCGGAGTGCCACTGCGCGTGTAGGGAAGGCATCGGGTCGTATTAATGCCAGCTGTGAGCGCCGGGAGTGCCACGGCAGAGTGCTGGGGTCGCTCGGGGGGCTGGAGATGCCATGATGCCACGGGCGGAGACAGCAGAGGTGCCAGACCGGAGACTCGGGAGGGAAGGCCGGGCACGGGAGGGGCCGGGGCTCTCGCGGTGCCAGTCGCCCGGCAGGCAGCGGGCGGAGGAGGGCCAGGCGGTCGGGAAATTTCGGCGGAGCTTGGAGTGCGAGAGGAAGGTGGTCGGGACGCGAGGGGGGGGGGAGGCTGCGAAGGGAGGGAGGCCGCGACGGCGTGAGTGAGCGGCTTCGCGGGCGGCCTGCGGTGGGGGCGTGGTGGGCAGCCTCGGCTATGTGCACACGCATCTTCATGTACACGTGTGGTTTGCGGAAATTATCCCATTTAAGCGACACCATCATCATCTTCATCCTTGGAGAATTGTTCAGTTTAGTGGGATAATATTATCTTTGCTTTTGTTGTTGGAAGCTTTATAGATCATTGTTATTGACAGCATCGTCGTCTCTGACAGTTGTCATAGGCATTGTTATTATCGTTTTTTCTCTTTTTTTTAATAATCGGTAAATGCTAATTATTGATATGACTGTATTGCTACTTATTATATATGTGTGTCAGTGTAAAGAAGATGAAAGGGAGGAAATGATATAATAGAGGAAAGAGATCGAGAAAAGACGGAGAGAGGAGAGATGTGCAAGGAGATCGAGAAAAAGACGGAGAGAGGAGAGGAATCGCCAAAGAGATCGAGAGAAATATGAAGAGAGGAGAGAAAATCCGTCCAGAGTGAAACCCTCAGGAAACGAGAAGACACGGGCCTCATGTACCCCCAGCTTGGGCCCTTAACCCCACCCCCCACCCACTCCTCCCCTAAAAAAATCCCCTTCCGTGAAAAGCATTGATTTCCCTTGGACAGAGTGGCGGTAGGGGGTGGGGGCAGGGGGAGGGGAAGGGGGAGCGGAGTGTGAGTGAGAAGGGGGAAGAGGGGTGGAACCTGGAGTGAAAAGGGGAGGATAAGTGAGAAAGGGGGCAAGGGAGGGTGAGTGAGAAGGGAGGAGGGGAGGGTTAGGGGACAAGGGGAAGGGGAGTGAGTGAGAAGGGAGGAGGGGGAGGGTTAGGGGACAAGGGGAAGGGGGGGTGAGTGAGAAGGGGGGAGGATAGGGGACGGCGAAGGGCAGAGATCCGCCCGCCCGTGTCAGCTGCCAAGAGACATGCATACATTCGTCATAATGTTGGTGATCGGGGGGGGGGGGGGGAGGAGGAGGGGGGGGAGAAGATGGAGAGAGAGCGGCGAAGGGGGGCGCGGGACTCGAGTCGATGGTTATCCAGGCGTTTGTAATTGCGTTTACGGGGACAAGAAAGTTACGCAATTGTGTCCGAATGTGTATGTTAAAAGGGAGGGTGGAGGGGAGAGAGAGAGAGAGAGAGAGAGAAGAGAAAGAGAGAGAAAGAGAGAGAGAGAGAGAGAAAAAGTGAGAAAGAGAGAGAGGGAAGGAGGGAGAGAGAGAGAGAGAGAGAGACGAAAATTGAACGAGAAAGAGAGATGGGGAGCGTAAGAGAGATGGAAGAATTCCAAGAGAGAGAGAGAGAGAGAGAGAGAGAGAGAGAGAGAGAGAGAGAGAGAGAGAGAGAGAGAGAGAGAGAGAGAGAGAGAGAGAGAGAGAGAGAGAGAGAGAGAGAGAGAGAGAGAAGAAATGAAGTGAAGTAGAAAAAGAAGAGATGGAAGATGGAATAACATAAACGAGGAGAGAGAGAGAGAGAGAGAGGAGTGAGAGAGTGGAGTGAGAGAGAGAGGAGAGAGTGAGAGAGGGAAGAAGAGAGGAGAGAGTGAGAGAGAAGAGAAAATTATATAGAAGAGATGATATTTCGTCATATTCTACACGCAGCCTCAGGATACTCCTTGCCCTCCCCTTCCTGCCCGCTTCTGTCCCGCTCCCTCTCATTTCCCCCTTCCTCTTCCCCTTTTCCTCATCCTATCTACTTTTCCTTTCCATTTATGTATCCGTATTTTTTATCTATAGTGTTTTTTTTTTCTTCTTCTTAATCACCCCAATTTTTTCGACTTTCTAACTCTCTTCCTCCTCATATCTTTACTTCATCAATCCTCTTCTTTTCCCTAGTCCCCATCCTCGTCTTCCACATCTCTTCTAATTTTATGCTTCTTCCCTCTTCTCTTCTTCCTCTTCGTTCTTCCCACTTCCCTCTTCCTTCTCCCCTCCTCCATCACCAATCATTTTCCTCTTGCCATGGTTGTCACCGCCTTCCATCAACCAGTCCCATTTCTCTCTCTCTCTCTCTCTCTCTCTCTCTCTCTCTCTCTCTCTCTCTCTCTCTCTCTCTCTCTCTCTCTCTCTCTCTCTCTCTCTCTCTCTTCTCTCTTTTCTCTCTTTCTCTCTTTCTCTCTTTCTCTCTTCTCTCTCCTCTCTCCTCTCTCTTCTCTTCCTCTCTCTCTCTCTCTCTACTCTCTCTCTCTCTCTCTCTCTCTCTCTCTCTCTCTCTCTCCTCTCTCTCTCTCCTCTCTCTCCTCGTTCCCTTAACGAATCCCCCTCTCTCCTTTCGCTCCCTCTTCTAGTATAATTTGCCATCTGTTCCACATTTACCCCCCCCCCTTCCATGACCCCCCCATCTCCACCACGTTCCTCACGTGTCCTCCACACCGCTCCACTCTCTCGTCTTCCACCTCTCTCCTCTTCCTCCGTATTTCATTCCCACGTTTCCCTTATCCACCCCTGCCCACCTTCGTGTTTTCTCTACCTGTCCCCTCCCCTCCTTATTCGCCCCCACCCTCCCCTTTCCCCACCACCCGTTCCTCCTTCCCCCTTCTCCCTCGCCCCACCCTTTCCCCTTTCTCCCCCCCTCCATCCCTCCACCTCTTTTCCCCTTCTCCTCCCCCTCCTCCCTCCCCCCTTTCCCCTTCTCCCCCCCTTCCATCCCTCCACCCTTTTCCCTTCTCCCCTCCTTCCCTCACACAACTTTCCCCCCCTCTTTCCTCCCCCTCCCTTTCCCCCCTCTCCACCCCTCTTCTCCCTTTCCCTTCCCCCCTTCTCCCCTCCCCCTCCCTTCGCCTCTCCCTTTTTTGGTTCCC